TGGTTAGGAATATTTAATCACTGTTTTGGGGAACAAAGAAAAAAAATATTATACTTTATAAAAAACATTGTTAGAGAATTTTGTTGACCATGGAATTAATTATGCCACCGAATGAGACAATGGATGCTGGGTAATTTATTGAAAGTGACTCAAGCTTGTCAAGCTTTTGTGTGAGCCTTACATGTGAAGATAGATCTTGTTCAGTTATGTCAGAAGCTTTCAGCCAGGATCAATAAAGCAATTTAAAGCTCTTAATATAAAGTAACAATTGAGCCATTTAAAACCATCCAGACTGTAAAAAGCATGCTGAAACAAGAGTATCACTTTGCACAGCACATATTGTACTTGTTCAAAAGTCATGGGCATTGCAGTATACAAGAGTGATGTTTGAGCTGTCTCTTCAAAACTGCTGTCTGTTGCTGATACTGGTCATTTAAAAAAAATATTATGAAGCTGCTTTAGACGATTTGAATTATCCACTGGGTTGTAGATGATGGGGGTGTTTTAAGATCTGATTTTGTGTACATACTATAAATGCAATGTATTTGTAGGAAATGGAACTAAAGTAAATCACGTTAACCATTTCATTCATCATACTCACAGATGAAATTGAAGCCATTTTGTTAAATTAATCAGGAAACCAGGATATAGTGCTCTTTAGTTCAAATAGCTTTCCTTAAAAGCCTATGCTATTGTAAATAAAGAAAGATGTAATTTATAGTCATTAACTGCAACATTTTAAAATGAACAGAGTTATTCATTCTTATCTTGCTCTGCAAGTTTCAATACCTTTGGACTCTACAACAAATAAGAAATCGTGTTGCTTTTCTTTAACCCTTCTACAACCTACAACCAATGAATGAAACTCTATCCAACTCCTAAATGACATGAACGTTGAAAAGAGAACCTAAGCAACATCATGGCATTCAGGGAGGCCCCAGGAGATCTTGAGGATACAGAGATCTTAGAGCAGCATGTCACATCCCAGTTTGGGGTGCACAGGGGTTTAGGGATGTTGATGTCAGCTAAGGACATTTAGAGACATTAGAGAGCACCATGTCTGAAATCTGTAACTGAGACTGCAGCAATCTCCAGCTGTCTGATGTTACTCAAATAAAAAAAAAAACCATCATGACTCTTAAAGTAATCCTTACTGAGAATGTGAGATAAATAATCCAGATGAATATTAAGCATGAAACCAGGTATGAGACAGCAAGGCTTATGAAATGCGTGGTCAATCAGTTTAATGTTTCAAAAGAGAATTGCTTTCCTTTTTGTAGGGTACTACTATTTAGTTTAGAGTGTAAGAGTTCTTAAATCTTACTTATTTTGGCTGCAGTGATTTTTCTCATTTCACTTCTCTTTTTTCTCTCCATTTTTTCCTATGGAACTCACCATAGGTTATATAAACTCTTGTGATGCAAATTTTTTACTTTAATGGGAATCCAGCTCATTTAAGAAAAAAATGTATCTACATTTTTTAAAATAACCCCTCCTCAGCAATTGGAATCACTTCAAGTGTAACAATTTGTGTAATTCTCCTTACACACTTACCACCCTCATAAAAAGTATGCAAGTATGGAACATAAAAACTTAAATCACTGTTTTTTATTCAGTATGATGTTTTTTTAAACTAAATTCAATATTGTAACATACACTGTCTCAGCTGTCATTTCCATTTGGAAATGTTGTATATTTTACAGTGATGCTACACAGAACCAAGCAAAATGAAAAAAACAACACTTTGAATAATACATCAGCATACATTTCTGAAAAGCATTTTTTTTCTGAAATTACTGTACATGTGACTGCAAATATTGTTTTCTTGCCACTCAAAGCCAGCATTCATTTAATGTATTTCCAAGGTGTGTCACCTTGGAAAGAAAAGCTATGTTTATTGCCATCAGTTTGATAAGTGACTTTGTTACAGAGGATGACAAGATCCATGGGTACATGCTACGTAACGGGTTTTCAAATCAGAGAAGAAATTGAATAACAAGCTGCTCAGTTCTCAATTAGTGTGCACTGCAGAGATTTGGTGTGATGCATTGGGAAACAAAGACCCTCTGCCTCCTCCTTAGGGAACACTCATTATCTGCCTGTACTGTAGGTTTGTTAGCTTTTCTTTTGTTTATGAAATACATTTTCCATTGTTCTAATATCTAACTCCTGCTGAGCCTTTGTGGGATTGTAACTTAGCTGCAATACTGATGGCTTTACGTTAATCAATACCAAACACCAACAGAGCACCAGATCTGATCATTACAGGTTAGTTTCCTGCTCTCAGCAACAGTGGAAAACAAGATATCACAATACACAAGTGGAAACCAACTGAAACTGGTTCACATTTCATAATGATAAACAGTTCTTGTGTTTCAACTAATTAAGTGATTAAGAACTCCAGGGACTGATTAATGTGCCTCCATTCTCAGGATGGCATTGAACAGTGAGCTAAGGTGCCTAATCTCTCTGTAGATCTCAGTTTCAAGTGGTAAACACCTTCCTGACCTTTTTTGTTATCATTTTTATTTTCCTTTGCTCATCTATGTTGTTGAATCTGATACTATAGGATCTTGAGCAATCAGCAACCAAATGAGCTAAGAGTTTCCTGTTGTTTGTAGCCTTTCTTCTGTTTTAATTTCTTTCTTGTTGCCTAATTTCTTTCTTGAGGAAAAAGGCCTAGCTAAGGATCAGACATATAGGGAAACAGGTGTTTCTTCTGCCTCACATATGGGTCAGCCTAGGTAAGCTTGCTGCTCCACTTTGACTCCTTTCCTGTTTCTGAAGATGGTGAATAAAGGGCTTTCTTGCTGCCTAAACACTGCTAATGCCGTTGGTGCAAATACTCCTTCAGGTTGGGACAATTTCTCAGTTCTCTGCATTTCTTTGCCCCATCTGTATGTTGAATCTGTCTTGATACTAATATCAGATTTTGATAAGGGCAAGTATTGCTTTTTAGTTCTTTTTATATATAGGTACAGTACAGTATACAGCACTGTCCATATGGAGCAAACAGGAATATAACAACCAGGAATATACAAAAAAAGGCCGCAGTCAAATTCTTTTGACTCTTTAAGTGTATCATCACTCTTGCAAAATACAGATAACATTCTATAAGTACAAGTTAAAACTGTTATGTTTGCTGTACAACATCTGCAATAAGAAACATTTACTTTTGTCATGTAACTTAATCAAAACCCTCAAACAGTGAAAATATAGTAGCTATTGGAACACATTGTTCATAATGGTTTTCCCAGAATTGTTGTGCATCTGCTTCTATGACAAGAATTTCTGAATAGTGTCATGTAATTTAAATGAGCTTTTGGCAAAATATGATCAGTCTGTAAATTATGTCTTTAGTTTTGCAAACCTTGCCATCATTGTAAACACAAAATCAATTTAATCAGGGGTTTGATTGAAAAAGAATGAACAATAATTTGAAGAGGAATAGACTCAAGATGGCTAAACATGAGCTTCACTTCATTAGGTATGAAGCAGCGTTTTTGAGCAATGCATTTCCAGGCAAAATGTCTCACAATGTCTTAGATTAAAGGCTTTTAAAATACCTCCAATTTGTTAAAGGTGAAGTGATTGAGTGAGTGAAACCACACACAGCATCACGAATAAGAACAAAATAAAAATAAGGAATAAATAAAATAGAGAAACAAAGCATTTATCCAGAGACACCTATTTCTTGGCACTTTAAACAAGTGTTGAAAACTGGGCTGTATCAATGGTGAAAGGCTGGAACATTTGCTGAGATGCAGTGTTTGACTACAGCGGTATTCCAAGTTACTTTTGAGCTCACAAGAACAAGAACTTGGACTGAAACAAGTGATGGGCAACCAACCAGAAAGAAGCAAATTGCAAACGCATTCTGCTTCAAGCAAATTGCCCTTTGCATGCCTTTTTCCTTCAGAAAGAGGAGAAATTATGTACAGTAAATCATATTTTGAGTCTCCAATCAAAGTTGTAAATCACTTTGAGTCACTAGTCAGAGCAATTTCTCATTGAAATCGAATGTTTTGCTTTTAATTCCTTAAGTTGTTCAAGTTCTAAAGGAATTTAGTTAAGAAAAGCTTGCCTTACTAATGGGAGATCATGATACAAACATTACATGATGCTATGATCCTTGAAATCTAGGCCTATTGGTGTCGTAGCTGATCTACAGTACAGACCCTCAAACTATCTTAAATCCCATTAGAAGGATGTATCTCCTAGATTCCAGAGAGACCAGTATATCAAAGGGAATGTCAAACAGTTCTGATGGGTGTCTGCCAAAATCTGTGTACCAGAGAAAAAAGTTCCTAATTTTAGAATATCTCACTAGATCACAATGGTTGTTAACCTACAGTGTGAAAAGACATGAAGATATGTGAACATTATCATATAGGTCACTGATAAGAGTATGCTCACTGGCGTCCAAACTTTGAAAAGATAGTTAAACCCAATTTAAATACCTATGTATCCGCATCAGCTTTTTAATGCATCCATTAAAAGGAACACACATAGTGAAGTATCAGTTTTCTGACGGACCCTTGATGAGCTGCTAATTGTGGTGCCATAACAACCTGGCAAATCTAGCACATACATGATTAGTTGTGCACTCCTGCTGGCGGAGCTCTATCAAGGCTTATTATTCCAATACTGATGGTCCTTTATGAGGTTCCATAAAAATACGCAGCAAGCCAGCAAGCATGAGCACTTACAGTCACACAGACCCATAATGAGGGTGTGAGCAGACTAACACGTCTTACTGCATGCTTGCAGAGTGCTACATCATTCAACGTTCATGCAAGGAGAGGGGGGACAAAAACTTATACTGCCTTAGGCTGACAAACAAAAGACTGCATCAAGAACAACACAATTACGACATCAAAGGATTTAATTTGGCATATGTTATATGAATGTACGCTACTATACATAGAAAACCACATATGAACTAAAGCCCAATAGAATACATGAATAATAAATACGACCCATGTCAAAGAAATCCTTACCTTGTACCTTTATCGCCCATTGTCAGGCTTGCTGTGTTGCTGAGAGCAGCCTTCAGTCTTAGTTCCAATGTTCAAGGAGGAGACTAGTCTGCTATACGGAAAAGGATGCAAGAGGTCTTGCTTATGTTTAGGCAGCCACTTAGAATGTGCACGTAAATGCAAGTGGAGCTCCTGTTAAACTGCTTTTTTGTGCTGTTAACACTCCTCTCCCTGTGAATGAAATTAAACAGCGTCCCTGTTGTTCTTTTAAAATATAAATTGTTAGAATTTCCTCTTGATCTTCCTCTTGCTCCCCTTCGTCTAGTATATATGGCTAGTATTGTTGAATTGCAGTGTAAATCCAGATACGCAGATTAAAGCTTCTGTGCAGCCAGAATCCTCCAGATTACTCTTATTAATGTGAATCCTCCATCAGAGTTCCGTTCTAGCTCTTTGCCTCCCTTTCTCTGCTGCTCTGTATCCCTCCCTCTCTCACTCAATCTGTGTGTGTGTGTGTGGTGTCTGCGTGTGTGCCGGTCAGGATGAAACATCCCTCTCATTCAAGCCACAGCCTCCCTTGCTCAGCTTAAAACTACAATGCTGAGGAAAGGCAGCAAAAAAAAAAATACAGCAGTCACATGCTGACCTGACTGCAGGTCAGTGAAGGAAAAGTGCTGGATGGGATTAACTTGAGTTTTGATATTCACACCATTGTATTAAATCCATGGTCTGTTGTGTCACAGTGCATCTCTCCAACAATAAATTGGGCTCACCTATCTCTGTCATTTCAATTGATAGTGTGCCAAACAGACTGCATGACTGCAAGTCACCTTGAGGATGTAGGGGATAATGTCATGGAAGATGATACACATCATATGCATAGTTTGCAAACCTCTGTGAGAAATATGTTAATTGACTAGCGCATAGCACACCAGGGGAATCGCATAGCACAAACCTTTACAGGCTGAATATCATGGTTTTCACCATGACCATGATTACCAGCAGTAAGACAGCTATTCAAAGACGAGATTTAATTAAAGTTTGATTTCTCCGATTGAGTCTGATTAAACCGTATCAGTTTTAAGTGTGATTTCTTTAAACAAACAGCAAAGAAAAAAGGCAGCAAGCTACTGTATAGGCTAAGGAACAGAAGGTCACTCTGGATTAAAGTATCAAATGCATAGGGACCAAGGACCTTACACTGTGGAGAAAGAATGAATGGGGCTGCCATGAACACCCCTTGGAGGCCATGTAATGTGTCTGGTTCATCACTCAAACATCACAATTGCTGTGTGTTCTATGGTCCATGGTTACAGATACATAAATGCTTGAATTTAGCAGAAATTTAACTTCATGTATTGATGCATCATATAGGAATGTGTGTGTGTGTGTGTGGGGGGGTGTGAGCTATCCATAAGTTCAATGCAACAAGTCACAGTTATCTAATATAGATTATGAATTCATGTGATGTAGGCATGACACAGATAATGAAAAGATACCCATTTGATACAATTGGTTTATAAAACTAAACACAGTACCATGCCAAATATAATTTTACTCTATTATCTAGTGCAGATCCATCGTTTTATATTTATTTTAATTTAATATTCAAAACCCTGTGGGGGAAAAAAACAAGCACAAAACATTCAATTTAATTGAGTATCTTTTTTTCTTGTGCACCAACCTTCACAGAGCAGCAACCCACACAGAACTATTGTCAGCGTGCAAAGCAGCTTTTCTACCGTAAAGACAGTGCCTTCTTGAGCAATCAATATTTTCACTAATTCCAGCAAACAAAGCTGTCAAACACAGGTTTTGTGTTCCGTAAGTTGTCATTTCTTTCTCAGCACTCATTTTCAGTCAATGACAAAGACTTTGACCTTGGATTTTTGCAGCAGTGAATGTACTGTGTAGAGAGTTTTTCAAAACGCCCTAGGCAAGCACAAAAAAAGTGCTACAGCATTGTATGACACATAGAATATGACCCACTCACGTTAAAATGTACACCAGCATTGTCATAAGCTAGGAAGCCTTAAGAAGTGCCACATTTTCCTTAATACTTCTTTTTTCAGCCTCACATCTAGATCCTACAGTAAACCATAACATAATTTATAAATATGATTTCCACGCAAACAGCATCTTTTCTCATTTGCAATTAGATTATGCCACACAAAATTCATAAAAAGCTTCCAAAACTCATCTGTTGCGTGGCAATTCTCTGTTCACAGGTAGCTCTACATTTCAAGTGTTGGCTCAATCCCCTTTCATCAAAGGGTGAAACTGTGAGCCATGCTTTCTTTTTGGCATTCAGATTACATTTTAATCTTAGCAGGTCATTGAAATTCCGAGTGGTCAAGTGTGCATTGGAATATTGGGCTTTGTGTCTCCCAAACTTAAATCCAGATTTGTCCTTCATATACAATACAATATAACATCCCAGAGCATATATTCAATTCTCTTTGTATATTTTTAATAATTATATATTTTCACTATCCTAATAATCGTAGACTTTCACATCACTTGCAACAGGTGTTTTTAGAAATGTAACAGTACAGTAAGTCATAGCTCACTGCCCTGCCCAGTTCAGTTAAAAAACCTGTTACTCCAGATGCTTTTCCACAGTTGTAGAGCAATGAATATCAGCTCTCACATATTGATCATAAGAGAGATTTTAAAGACCCAGAACTGCACAATAATCAAAACAGATTGACACAGGTGGCGTTGTCATTGACCTCCAGATATCAGCATCAGTTGTTATCTTTAAAACATCTGGAGTATATTTACCTGATGTCACAACCTCCTTACGTTTTTATCAGCAGGTATATTTGACTTAACAGATTTAGCTTTGAATGTACAGCCACACATTGATCAGTGTGTTCAAGAAAACTGTAATTTACATACAGTATGTAAGTGTGGAAAATGGCTATGAATACTAGGTTTGTTTTTAATCGTCAAGGAAAAGCAGTCACAAAAGATGCATATTGACATCTGCAGTCAGAAAGGCCAAGATTATTACACTGGGGAGAAAAGATTTTTATCTTTTATCAATTTAACAAGAAAGCAAGCTGAAGTCTTTCATTTTAAATGCCTACAGTGGGAGACAGTGAGATACAGATCAATGACAAGATGACTTTCAGGTCAACATCCAAGTACTGTGTTTAAAAATTATAATCCTTTCTCTACGTATTAAGCCAACAAAGAAAAATTCTTGCTCTGTAAATGATTCCCAGTATTAACAAAATCATATCTCAGATACACTCTGGTAAAAAAAATTGAGACTCGTTTTTGACACTATAATGGGTCATTCACTTTAAAAACAAAAACAATTTTTTTATGAAATACAACATCTTAGAGCAATCATGGTCTTTATTGCGTGTCAACAAGATACAGATTATATCCTATGGTCTTTATTTACTAAAGAAACAAACATAAAGAAGAAAGTGCAAATAGGTGTGCTGCCTAATTAATATCAAAATAATCGCAGTATAATGCTTCCTTTGCAGAATAATCTTTTTCAAATGCCCTTGTACCTCATACACTATAAAACCAAGCTGTAATTTTAACAAAATATCAGCAATAAATTCAGAGAATGAAAAGGCAGCAGTAGCAGCATGAACAATGGACAGTTCATGATAATATAATTTTATTTATAACCCTTTTTCTTCAAACTGAAACCTCTGTGCAATAGCACACAACATATGCAAAAGGCAGGTCTGAGTTTCGGGAGTGTCAACAGTGACAGTCTCTAATGGGACTGTGCAGTGAGCACCACAGACGTGGCGATGCACACGAGAGGCCCTGGCACTCACAGTTGAGTTCGTTCTTCGGCAGAGCTGTAGTACAAGTTTTGGTTCCTGTTATTCATTCTTTCCTCGGAGTCCTCTCTACTTTTAAGGGCTGATTTGCTCGTCTCAGTATCATTTCAGAGTGCAGCCCATCTGCTCAGGAAAGATTCCCTTCAAATCCTGGTGGCTACTTGCAGTCTGCTGGTTGAGGAAAATCGCTCTCATGTGTGTCAACATGTTTGAGAGGATTCTTTTAACGACAGACAGCGCGGCCCCAGTCCGTCAACCACAGAAGTAATCATGATACTGAGAACCCGTTTGGGAGTTCTCAGGAACAGCAGAAACCTTTAGTATAAAGCTGGTTTTCAGTTTATTTTCTTTATAAAACAATTAAGGTAACATTTCCTGTCCTACATGTGCCTCAGTTTACTGGATTTGTAAAACACCCTCTATCTCTGAAGTGTGATTGTGGTTTCGTCTTTGCACTTTATTGCAAATTCTTAAAAAATGCTCTGTGTGGTACGACTTGCCCCCATCCAGAAGCAAAGAAAACTTGTTTATAGGTTGAAGATCTACAAAATAACAAAATACAAAATCGCTAAATGGATGTGTGGCTTTCCTGTTGGGCACAGGGCTGTACCACAAAAGTGCTGGAGCTTTTCAGTTATGTTAATTACCCTTTTCAGAGCCATTAAAGATATTCAGCATGCTGGAGTGCAGTCAGGCATGATAATGATATTATATACAATCTACAAGTAACAATCCTTCTTTGTCTGGTGTAGTGCTCAGCAATGTTTTGCAAGGATGTTACAATAAATGATAAATATTCCCAACTGAATATGTTTTTAACATTTAGGGTACCATGATGCAAGAACAACAATTCTTAAAAAAGAGTTTTTGTTTTTTACAAAGTGTATTAAAATTCAAGATATCAGAAACATTAATATCTAACCTTTATGCTACAAAAACAAAGAAACATTCCTATAATGTAGTTTTGCTCTCTTGTGTAGTTTTAGTTTTTACAGAAATATCAATGGATTCATGTAAAACATAACAATATTCACATTATGGCTGATAGGGGTAGTTTTCAAGATACAATCATATATAATTGTAATCACTGTAATATGCAAAGGAAAAAGTTCACTGAAGAAGGCTCCACAGCCGAAACATTGTTTTTTTTCTTCTCTTTTCAGCATGGAATAAACCTTTACTTGTTCCTTTGCAGCTTACACATGCTGAGGCAGCTCTCTACTTGAATCGCTGTAATATATCTTGTTTATAAGTATACATCTTTGATACCCATGGCTTAAATGGAACCAAGTAAAAAAATGAAAAAAAAACAATATAAAAACAAAATATTGATAATATTAAAGAAACCTAAATCTGTAGGTTTTTTTCAGTAACTTTACTGAAGTATTAGCAAGCAAACATCTATATTCTAACTGCATCCGCTAGTCCCTTCCAATCTGCTTTTTCTACCCCAATTTTACCCCTCCCCCAAAAGAAAATCACTTTTTAGCAAAGGTGATTTCTTAATTAAGGCCACTTAATTTCTTTATAATAATTCCTTAGCCATGACCTTCTCAAATATTATTGCACATGCATTAACAATACACAACAGCAATGGAATCCTAGAGAGTTACTGAAATCCAGTCCTTTGACTTCACCTACAGAATACTGCAAGTGTCACATTGCACCTGGGTGATTATTTTCGGAGAAAGATTTGGAAAATATTCCCTGCATTTGCATCAGCGTTTACCGTTTTAGTCTACAGTGCACTCCATCTTCCCGC